GATATTAAGCTTTTTTCTAAATATTCTGAATTATGATCGGTTTTGTGAACAGACTTTAGCATACATACGCACACAGACACACTATCGAATATATGAATTAACCAAACCTTTCTATATCCATCTATATATTAAATTTTGCTCGCAATAAGCAGTGTTAGCTTGAAACTTTTGCAAGAATGATTCCTGGCTCTGACGATGTTCGCCCGTCTTCACTCGAAACTTTGGAGGACGTCTCGTGGACTGTATCAAATTGAACGTCATTTTAGTGCAGTACAACCCGAATCAGTCGTATTCTTTTGACATTGACCTATGAATCTCTTCATCATGTACTTCCATATGAAATGAAAGTTTTCACATCAATCTTATCTCAGGAGATTCTTCGAAACCCGCATTTTCTTCGTAGAAGGTTGTTTCATCTCTACAATTTTGTTCGGCTTACTTCGGTTCTTATTATCACCACCTAACCTTGCCTCATCTGCCTTACCCTTTCGTGCACACGCATATCAGTGCCCGAGTTGCAGCGCCTAACTTTCGAACTGATGGCCGCGGGCACCGACACGACGGCTTTGACGTTGACCACAGCTTGTAACCAGCTGGTGCAACCGTTAAGTCGTTCTAACACCGGCAGCAGTCACGAACAGTCAACCCCAGCGCTGCCATCACCCGTCCTGCCTGCCAGCCTCCACAGCCTGCCCACAGTCGTGCCACTCGGCCTTCCCTACATCACATTAGCCGGGCTTCAGCTGGCTAGCTACGAGGTGCCCCGAGGCACGGTGCTGCTGTTCAATCTAAGGGCAGCCAATCTGGTCATCCAACAGAGCGATCCGACGAGCAGACAGACGGAGGCTCCTGCCGATCAAAGGCCCGGGTCCACTGATGCCAACATCACTGGGGCAAAGGAGTCGATACAATTTTCGCTTGGTATGCCATACCAGTTTGGACCGGAGTCAATAATAGCTCGGTCCTTGACTCTTTTCCTTCAACACCACAACATCGCGGGCTTTCTGTCTAGGTTGACTTTTGGAAAATTGGCTTACTTCCACTTCGAGTGAAAGTGTTGGAAAAGAGACGTGAAGTTCGATCCCGCCAGACGATGTCTCGGGTAGTACGCGTTGGGAATGATGGTCATATAGGGTTATTGAAACTTGCGGACAAAGGACAGGTTACGCTCTGTTCCAATTATCTGCTAGCTTCTTGCCTTAACGTGCACTTGAACGTACATATGCACACATAAGCCCACAATCGCACATGCTTCTAGATGGAAATACGATATGAACTAACCAAATTACCCCACACCTCATAAAAATGCACAAGTATGCCATAGGTTTTCAATGGAACCGAAGAAGATTGCCTCGAGGATGGCGCCACTCAGGGCGTTTCAGTAGATCTAGCCAACAGATGGCTGGTGGGATCGACCCTCAGATCTCCCCACTCATTTACCCTAGAAATCGAAGTGAATTCAACACTAATAAGCCAATAATCTCTGAAACCCGACATTTTTTCCATTCTAACATTTTTAGAGAAGGCTTGATCTCATTACCCATTTTCTCATCCACACATGGGTGTTAGCTCAGTCGGAACTTTTCGCGGTGACGATCAGATTTATAATTTGGCATTAATATACTTCTACTCCTTTTTTTCAATCTCCATCCTTCTCGACTAGATGCCTTACCATATTTGTTTAAAGTAAGTTTCACAACTCTCAACAGGGTATCTTTTTGTCGTTTTTCTTGTATCTGATACATTAAATGAATCTTAGCTTCCCTCGGAATACTACGATATAGCCCTTGGATCCGAATCATTGTGCCAAAATATGTTTAGCTATAATGTGACTGATTCTTGAATAAGAAGTTGATTTAAGGACTGACTGACTTGGCTGATGAAAAACAATATTAAAACAATCTGGCAAAAAAGTGAGGCCAATCAGAACTTTAAGGAAGGAAAGTTTGTCGAAAACCTAAAATTAACTGAAGTAATATGCCGAGAACGACTTACAAACTCATATATTAGAATGCATCCGTATAAGAAGAATAAATTTATGACTTGAAGAGAAAAACATAATTTGGCCTAAACTAGGTTAAGAGCTTGAAAAGTTTACTTGAAATCGGTAGAAATGTTTGGTACCAAATTTAGCAATCGTACTTGGATTGTCGTATTTATTCCCCACTGTTTATACCTACGTATATATAATATTCCGTACTATAATACTTCTATTTGAATATACATCCATGAAAACATTACAGAGATGATTCGGCCAACAATTAAACCCCCAAATTAGAACTTTTAAAAGAAGCGAACGGCTAAGGAACCATCTAGATGCCCTTTATATTTTTGAGCAATCACTTTTACGTTTGTGATACAATTAAAGCCCTATTTTTAGTAGTTAATAAGAGTAATGATATTGAGAGTGGTGCGTTATTTGAAATAGCCTGTTTGCGGTGAGTCAGCGAGAAAACTTGACATCTCTAATTTGTTTGCAGTAAAATTCTGACGTTTCCCCGGTAACACCAGCCCATCCTCTGAATTACATGACCCGAGATAGAGAAGGACCCTCTAATCTCACGTCTTTGGTGAGAATTTCGTATATAGAAGCAACTGTTTGCTTGACAGTAAACTTGATACCTTACTGACTCGACATAAATGTTTTGCTTCGTGGCAATCAAAAGGCCATGTCTATTTGCACCATTTTAGACTGATACGGCTTCATTTTTTGCATCAAGTTTAGCGGAAAACGGCACACAATTGTCGTATACGTGAACACGAGCATTTCAAACCCTGATTACTAGTCTTGGCCCACGTGTCAATCAGTAGTATTCTATCAAGCTTCCCAGCATCAACTAAGGCATCGAGATATTTGCCTATTTATATTTCCTTTGATTGCCCATTAAGCAGTCACCAGTGCCTAGTGTTTAATTTTTCTATTTTTAATTGCCTTAAAACTTTGGACCAATGCTTCTCTCATTTGAATACATCTTTATGTCATCTTGCCTATGCACTCACAACCACAAACATAACTATGCATATTTGGTTCACTTGCACTACCATAAATAATAATCAGGCTTTAGATCGTGTCCAGGCAAGCGAATCGCACTCACCATCCTTGAATCTGTACTGGAACGCATAGCCGTCGAGTTCAGCATCCACCTCCCACCAGACGAACCAAAATTAGCCATCCCGGATCGTGGACTCACCAGTCTGCCACAAACAAGGCATTTTATTTTCC